ATATTTTTCAAATTTATCTGAACTAAAACTTGAACAATCTTTGGCTAAACCATGAAAAGCATGTTTCTTCCAAGTAATTATTTATTTCTTTTTTTGCAAATTGACAGTTGTTTTTGCTATTTAAATAAATATATTTTATATTATAAACATGTTCAATGGTAAGACCTTGTTTTTAGTAAAATGAAGATTAATCAGGATAAAAATCATAATTTAATATTTATCATGAATTTATTATTTAAGAAGCAGACAGTCAAAAATACTCCATCATGATAAGAACATAGTTACGAATTTACTGATAATCAGTTATGTTTATCCACAAAACCTGATTAATTAAATCAGTTACTTAAACTACAAACATGTCTTAAATATTTAAAGAATTGGATGACTCTTAATTTTCTGCTTCTAAACTTGGAGACATAGATTGTGTTTTTTTTAACCTGAACATAATGGAAATAAACTTTGCAGCCTTTCACTTTTGCTGGGTGGCATTAATCTGGCCTCCATTTCTAATGTAAAGAAACTTGGTGTTATTTTTGATCAGGACATGTCTTTTAACCCCCACATTAAAAATATTACCAGGACCGTCTTCTTCCACCTGAGGAATATCACTAAAATTAAAAACATTTTGTCCAAAAAGGATGCAGAAAAACTGATTCATGCATTTATCACGTCTCGACTGGATAACTGTAATTCTTTATTATCAGGACATCCAAAAAACACTTTAAGAAGTCTTCAGTTAATCCAAAATGCTGCTGCTAGAGTTTTAATGAGAGTTGGAAGGAGATCATATTTCTCCAGTTTTAGCTTCTCTCCACTGGCTCCCTCTCAAATTCAGAAAATAATTTAAAATCTTACTTTTAACATACAAAACTCTCAACAATCAAGCTCCATCATATATTAAACACCTTATTGTTCCATTTTTTTCCAATCAGAGCACCTCACTCTCAGACTGCAGATTTACTTGTGGTTCCTAGAGTTTCTGAAAGCAGAATGGGAGGCAGAGCTTTCAGTTCTCAAGCTCCTCTCTTGTGGAACCAGCTTTCAATTAATGTCCGTGAGACTGACACTCTGTATACATTTAAGGCTAGACATTACTTTTTTGATGAATCCTATATTTAGGCTTAGGTTTCCTGAGTTATTCCTTAGGTTCTGCTGCTATAGGCTTAGACTGCTGCAGGACAAACTGAACACATTTCCTCACTCTGCTGCTGCTTTTAGTYACTCTCCTCTACTTGTTTGTYGTTGTAATTATTTCTATTAATGGAATGTTTTCTTTGAATTCTAATGAACAAACAAGTCTATCAGGCCAGGATCCAAGGAAAAAATAAGTAGTACTCTATGAATCATTGATTAATGTAGATACGAAGGACAGGTGACAAATACAGGGCTAAAACATATTTTTTGGATACTAGCTAATGTCATATAGGTTTGCTTGACTTTGGATAAAWGTCCAAAGTCAAGCAAGTGCTTTAGCAAGTAGCTAAAGCACTTGACATAGTAGGCAAAAACACAAAAGCCATGCTAATTTAAACTCAAATTGCTAAATGTCTTGAACATATACATATAGTACTTTATTAAGTCATTACAGACTCCAAAGTGCTTTACACTTCAATCATTCACCCATTCACACACTGAAGGTGGTAAGCTACAGTTCCTAAGGTCGTGGTCTGAGTCCAGATTTACTATGTTCCAGAGTGATGCATGCATCAGGGTAAAATAAGAGACAGGTGAAGTGATGCACCCATCATGACWAGTGCCTACAAGCCTGGGGGGTCAGTATGATGTGGGGTCGCTGCAGTTGGTCAGGTCTAGGTTCAGCAACAGCATGTGCTTAAAGAATGAGGTCAGCAGACTACCTGAATATACTGAATGAGCAGGTTATTCTATCAGTGGATTGTTTCTTCCCTGATGACACGGTCATATTATAAGATGACAATGCCAGGATTCATTGGGCTCGGATTGTGAAAGAGTGGTTCAGAGAGCAGGAGACATCATTTTCACACATTGATTCATTGTGTTGGAGAAGTCTTTATGCATCGGTCAGACGCCACCATCAATGCAAGATCTTGGTATGCAACACTGGATGGAAATAAATATTGTGACATTGCAGAAGTTTATTGAATCAATGCCACAGCAAATGTATGCCGTAATTAAAGCTAAAGGCGGTCCAACAAAATTAGTGTGTAACCTTTTTTTTATTTTCTTTTATTTATTTTTTGTGACAAAATTTGTTTTGCCAGGCAGTGTAAAAT